ACTGGATCCAGAATTTAAATTACCTTAAATTTTATTAGGGATGTGTTTGCAAAAAAAACCCCAAAGAAGTTAAAAGTTGGAAAGATGAGGTTTCAGATGTGGGATCCAGAACTGCATAATAATACTTAAGATTGTGTATAAATACTTGGATCTGCATGATAGACAAATCTGCAGACGGACTGTAGGACTGCATCCTTATTTCTCTTATTTCTCTCATTTCTCATCTGTTAAGACTAAGGACCTCCTGAAATCTCTTTTAATTATTAGAAAAGTTTAATAATTGTTGAATATTTTTATTTTTTGCAATTTTCTTAATGTTAGGTGTGTTCTGCTCATTTTTAAAGCCTCATCTTCTGGAACCTGGTGAGCATATTACCGTCCATTTAAAACACATCAAGAATTTGAAATTTTCTAGCTTTTGTGCTTCTAAAATAAAATTATGGAATAGTTCTCAGATATATGAATAAGGTTCATACAAAAGCCAACAGATTCCTTATCTTTTTTTAAACATTTCAGTATCTTATGTTGGTAATGCCTAGGTTTGTGAGTGTTTAGTTTGAAATCCTGAAACTCCTTTTCCTCTCTATCTGTTAGTACTTCAATGCGGATGTTTTTTAATCGGATGTTCGTGTTTTAAACTTTAAATGGATGTTACAAATGAGAATTTATCTGGGCATAAAAAAGAACTAGTTTGTTTTAAATTTAAATCACTTTTGGGGGCAAATTGCCATTTGAAACTCCAGATTTTTTAAGACATTTATCAGCCCTGGTGCACAAAAACACTTTAAAAAATGCTTATTGAGTTTCCTAAAGTAGGCATATTTTGCCAAATCCTGAATACCCTATTGATTATTCCCCCCCTGAAAGTGTCATGAATATGCAGGATGCATGAATATTTTCAGTAAGTTTAGAATTTCTTCAGGACATACGCAAGAGCTCTGTGTATCTCTTAGAGCGAATCTTTAATTTCAGATGCAGAGGGAGCCTCTGGAGTGCTGAAAGTCTGCTGGTTCACATCTGCCTACATTTTAAAAAGTGGATATAAATGTATATATATATATATTTATATCCAGAAGACAGCAGCAACTTTTTGCTGTGGTCTTTGTGTCTGCAGACAGCGCTTCTCTCTAGCTGAAGATATTAGTGGGTGTTTAAGCTGGAGTGCTGTGGGCTTCACAGTATCACGGGTGAGATGCAGAGCTTTTGGCAGAAGTGGTGGGCTCTGCAAAGCACAGTGGTTGTCCAGGAATAGCAGGGATGAAGTGCACACAGAGAAAGACGAGATGGTTTTACATAACATGGTCTGAAACCGCAGGTGTGGTCAGGGTTGTGGAGATCACAAGCTGGGGACCAGCTTGCAGGGCATAGATCTGGGAGAAATGAATTATATTCCCAGACCATCCATGATCTGTGCTGGACAAATCAGCACTTTGAGGTAGCTGAGTTGTCTGGGACTGCGTGGAATTTCTTTAGCTGCTTTTCAGAAAGCGTCCTGAGAGCTTCCTGGGGAAGGATTGCAGGAGGTGGCAGAGCATGAAGAGGTAACCTGGCTATGTCTGGCTTGTTTGGTTTTTGGTTGGTTTTTTTTTTTACAGTGAGGGCAAAGTGCATTTCTTTTGAGGAGGATAGGTTCAGAAATGTTCAAAATCCAGAGGTTAAAAATTCAAGTCTTAAGCTGCTCCAGTGGACGTAGAGCTGATAAAATGGCGGCACCGCAGGAGCTGAGGCGGTGCCAGTGTCCAACCCTGAGGCCTCTGTTTTTCACAGCGCCAATTTTTGAGCAATTTTGAGGTGTCCTTCATGGGTGGGTGTTCACACTCCAAGTTAAGAAAGCCATTTATACCTTTATTCCAGAAAAACAATGTCTGTGCCCCTGATTTCGTGGGGAAGAGCAGAGGCACCCAAAGTTTTCGCTGAGGCCTTTTAAGTGGCCTGCAAATATTTCACCCGCTTTCCCCTTATCCAAGAGGCACAGTTTGATTTTCCTGAACAAACTGAAATAGCCTTTCCTAAAGGAAATCTCCGTGTCCATACAGAGGGGTGGCACAGCTTTCAGTCCTGCTGCTCTAAATGCTGCAAGTTTGTGTGCAGACAAGGCCCCGGAGAGTTATGGTGGAGCTATTAGGAGGGGAAGTGATTTTTTCTTAGACTGATTAAAATTCTTTGGGCTTTCTGTTTGTTTGTTTTTAAACACCTATTTAGCTTTTAATTAACATTTAAGAGAAGGGAAGCTGGTTAAATATTCAATACCTCCTCCCTTTCAATTAAGGTAGAACAGTACACAACGCATGATGAGGCCTCTGGGAAGTATGGAAAAATGGAGAAGAGCAGGCTCCTGATTATAATTTTCAGGGGGACAGGAAAGGTGAAACCCATCTGATTATTACTGCTGTTAACAATAATAATGTTGAGATTTATTTTTTTTTAACATCAGAAAGCAGTTTAGAAATGCAATTATTCTTTAAAACCGTATGTCCTGTCTTTGGCCTTTAAATACCTCAGTTTTTCCACTCCCATTCTTTACTTATTTCAGGTGCAAGCATGGAGGATTTTCTAATAGGCCTTTTTCAGTAGCTTAGTAGGGAGGCTGCAGATGCTGGGGAAGTTATTCTTCATGCTACATGCCCTTATCTTCATTTTGATGCAGTTCTTTCTGTCCCAGCGAGTCAGCAGCTTCCAACCCTGCAGCCCTGGGAGCTCAACCAAGCAAGGGATTATTGTCACCATACTTCAGTCTCTTCCCCTTTCCCTTCCTTCTCCTTGAAAAATCTGGTTACGTTCTGCCTGTGAGCTGGTTATCCCACAAAATTGCACATAAAGCACACAGAAAAGGGTACCTCAATGGAAAAAAAATGGGTTTGGAATATGCTAGTATTTGCAATTCATCAAATTCATCCTTCCTGTACTTAAATTTCTCCCTTTTGATTTAGTGTACCCTAATTTATCTGACAAAATATTTTGTTTTGATGGCCATCCAGTTTAAAAAAGGATCATGCTGGCTAAAAGAATCCCTCAACAAACCCATTTTACATTGTGGAAACCCCTGAAACCACTGCCCAAAATCAGTGATATCACCAAAAGGTGATATATTTTTAAGCCTGCTATATCTTCTACTGTGGTGAGACAACTCACCTGTGGAAAATACTTTGTTTTCACCAAATATCCCACAAAAATGATTTTTTTTTTGTTTAAATCACCACGTTACATAAATGAGTTTTTAAAATGGAATTGCTGGCACCAGATACCAGTTGTGTAAATGTTTTTTCCTGAATGAGTGGTTGCTTTTTGGCTTTTTTTTAAGGATTGAAGAGAATGGAGATGCTAAAATGCAGAGCTATTGGATAGGTTTCATATGCTATAACTTCAAGGTTTACTGGATATAGGATTGCATCGATTTTTAAAAACAGAAAAAAATGTTTTGCGAAAAGATTTCTGACTGCATCTATTGCAAGACATTCCAATTCAGCTTTAAAATTAGCCTATTGTGATGACACAATAATTTTTAAAGTAACTGTTGTATGTTGTCCAATGACCTATCCAGTGCTATGGATTTTTATTTAAAAAAAAAGCAAAACCAAATGAAACATCAAAACCCAAGGTACTTTCTCCATGAACCTCTCTTCTATCTACATAAGCATATGAATATATTTATATATATGTCTCTTGTGATTACCTATCAGTCAAGTTAATGATGTGTATTTACTGGCTGGACTAAAACAAGAATTAATCCAATTAGTTCAATAATTTGTTATTTACCAAATATTTTCTTAATTATTGAGAGTCCATTTCTACTTCAGCTGTAAATAACAGATATTCTCCCATCAATTTCAGCTTAAGTAGTATTTTATTATTTTTAGAAAAGTTTTTCATAGCTTTTATAGAAGCTATTCATAGAAATCACAGGATAAAATTTGCAGTTGCAGAGGATAGTGAAAGTAACACCTTTTGTCAGAAGGTTCAGCTCCAAGTCAAACTGTCATTCAGGTGAACTTCACAACTTGTGATTTTTTAATTTTTTTAAAATTTAATTCAATTTGTAGACAAAAAAACAAAGGCTGAAGGAAGTAGCATGCGTGTGTCTGCAAATAGCAAAATTCTGTTACATGGAAAATTCTGTGCTGTCATATGATTAAAAGTTGATGTGAGCAACCTAAGACAATTGAGTCCCTCAATTGGCTGACCTGGGAGCTGTATCCTTTATATGCAAATACCACTAATGTCAGTTTTATCTCAGCTGGATGTAAATTATATCCAGTTGCAGCACACCCATGCGATGGAGCCCTGGAAGGTGATAAAGCTGGAGATCTGATGAAGGCAGAAAGGCATTTTTCCTGTGGATTTTGGAACAGGGTCCTGCCCAGATGGAGAGCACGGGCTTCCCGTTGAGAGGAGAAGAGATGAGACTGTAGAGAAAGATCTTCGCTTTTCTCTGTCTGCTCCCAGTTGTTCTCTGATAAGAGTATCTTCAAGAGTGGGGTTAGGGGGAAAGGAGGAATCAGCTCAGCAAGAAGAATATCAAGGAGACATCAGCTATTCCCTGCAAGAGGCCATGCTGCAGGCAGATACTTCACTGAACTAGGGAAAATATGAATTCACAAATATTTGTGCTATGCACCCAGAAGTTTGTAGATAAACCTCGATCTTACCCTTTCTTTATATTTTTGCCCCTTTTTTCCCTCTCCAGATTCTCTGAAGAGGATGCATAGTAAGGATGGCACTGACGAAAAGCGCCATCAGTAAATCAATAACTTTTTTTCTTTCTTTTTTTTTAAGGAGAACACACACAAGAAACCAATTCACCTCATTCTCTGAAGAAGGATGTGGAAAATATGGGGAAAGGTAAAACAAATAAGGGCCTCTTACATTATAAAACTGCTCTTTGTTTTAATAGAATATGAGGATAATAGGGGGCACTTTTGTTCTGCGCCATATTTTAAGCTTGTCAAGTAACATATGAATAATATATGGACCTTTGGGTGGATATAATTGAGATTAATGCATATATATCAATCAATACATGACACTGTAATATAATACTTTAAAATAATATATTACATTGATTTATATTCATGGCTTTCTGCACAAAATCTATGGTAGGTCTATGCAACACTTTTTTTCTTTTTTTTTTAATAAGCACTAAATATTTTGTCTTAGAGTAATGAATTGCTCTGCAACTGTTCTTTCAAGAATTATTTATACAGATTATCAAAACCACTTTTTCTCTTTGTTAGAGGAACTCCAGAAGGTTCTGTTTGAGCAGATCGACCTGCGGAGGAGGCTGGAACAGGAATTCCAGGTGTTGAAAGGAAACGCATCTTTCCCAGTCTTCAGTAAGACACAAAATCTGTGGTTTTGGTGTTGTGCGTGTTTGTGGTTGGTTGCTGCCAGGCTGATAAAATGAGACAGGCTCTCAGTTGTGCTGCCGTGATCTCGGGCTTGGTTCTGCTGAGTCCAGGGTGGGCAGGGCTTGGAGCAAGCTGGGATGGTGGGAAGTGTCCCCAGGGTTGGAATGAGGTGATTTTTAAGGTCCCTTTCAACCCCTGCTGTGGCTTTGCAGCTGCCCAAGCAGGTCTTTTGTAGGGAAAGCACAAAGCTGGATGTTTGTTTTGGTGTGCATCCTACTAGTTTTGATAGCATTGATTACAGTGAGTGCACAGAAACACATCTGGGTCCTCATGGGGTACGGTGAGGTTGGTGTCTCAGCCAACACCCCTCAGGGGCTTCTGAAGATACTTAATCCTTGTTTTCAGGAGGTTTTTAGGACTCATTTTCAGGATGTTCCAGCAGATGCTGGAGAATTGATCTGGTCTTTTTAAGGAGTAGAAATTCCTGCTTGGATTTTTCCCATTTGGGAGAGGCCGTTTGAGATGACCCTTCCACCATGGCCACTGAGCAGGGTGCTGCTGCCCAGGGCGATGGAATGTGCAGGGCGCATCTCAAATAAAACAAATGGGCACTGAGCAGGGTTTTTGTGAAGCTGGCAGAAGGCTGGGCTGATTGTGCAGAGATGTGGAAAAAGACCCCTTGGCTGGGATCTCTCAAAGACACTGGAGCAACGGCGGAAACATTCTTCCAGGAGAAATCCCACCTAGATCAGGATGATCCCACAGAAAAAGAGGGAACACAGACAGCATTTTCCTATTGTTCAAAGAAAATATGCTTGTCCTCTTTCTGTAGCATCAGATAGGTATGTTCAGGAAAGCAAGGAGGTGTGAGGAATCTGGGAATGACTCCATCTTTAGCCCGAATATTGAAATATGTAGACAGCTCCATAAATAAAGAAGAGTTACTTGACATGATACAGATATTAATGAAAGGAGCATAACCTCATCCTTCAGAATAAATCCAGTCATTACTTGGGTTTGGGAGTGAGGTAATTTTCACATAACTCGTGGGGATCAAAACGCTGCTGTGTGGTATTGGCGAAATGGCATCTTGGACTTTTGCCATTTAAGTCTCTTATTTATCCTTTTGTTCTTCTACAGTAAAATTAATGCTCTGTCTTTGCCATGTAAATAAACACTGCAATTAAACCACATGAAATACAATTCAAATAAAAGAAAAGAACAAGTACGGCCGACCAAGGAAGTGGTGACTGCTGTATGCTGGCTTGAAAAATATGTGGTTTCAATGTACCACAAAGTAGTGGTCAATTTTCTTCAGGATTAAAATAGAAAAGAGATAATGTGCTATAAACCAAACCTACAAGTGACCGTAAAGCCTATTTACAGATTTAGATTTACCAAAAAAACCCACCCCTCCTCCACGTGTAATGAAACAAGAAAAAAAGAAAAAATTTACTTTTGTAAAGCAAATCTGTGTAAATCTGTGTTGAGGGTGTTTTGTCCTCTGTTGCATTGTGTGTTCTAGCATAAGAGAGGGGGCTGTTCTAGGCTCTTGCTGTTGGGCTGTTGCTTTAGGATGGGTATTAGAATGGTATTGGTGTCTTGGGCAGGGAGAAGCCAGGCAGAGGAGTTTTTGGAGATCCAACTAAAGGAAAGTTGAGGTAAAATTTAAATTGTATTGAAAACTCATCCCTGTTTCAGCTGGAAGGCAGCATGAGAGATGTGGAAGCAATGCTATTCTCTCTGGAAAATGTCAGGTTGCCTGCAGTGAGCTTTGGGGTCTTCCACCTGGAACTGAGCACATTTGGGGTGCTCTACCTTCACAGCATCAAGCCACTGCTCACAACAGGGCTGTGCAGTAAATGGTGTTTGGTTTCAGAGTTCTCCTCTCATTTAAATCACTGCTAAATGAGAACTGAGCTTATTTGCAAGCTCCCTAAGCAGTGCTATGCTGCAGTCTTCTCTGTGGCCTCTTGAACCTGCTTGAAACACGGACTGTGAAAATTTATAAAACAGCAAGACCTTGTATTTTTCACGTTGCTGTTGGGCTTGAAAGCTGCAGGTGAAATTTTCTTTTGCCTTTAAGGTCTCTCAATGCAGAGATCGCTCAAATAAAAAAAAAAAATTAAAAAAAATCAGATCACATGTAGAAAGTCAAAGTATTTGCTGTCCTGATAAAGATGCAGGCATCTCTGCATGGTGACAGTGTGCTCTCCTGGAGCCCTGCTCTGGTTTGTGCCATCCGTGTCGGCTGCTCCGCGTTCTGTCCGTCTGCATTTTAAACAATGCGGCAATAAAACAGTGGAGACGCAGCCTGGGTACTTAAAGTATTTAATTTTGTGTTAAGAAAGCTATTTAAATATTCATATCTTTTCTCCTGGGCACTGCTTATGGCTTTGTCTGCCAGCGTTTGGACTCGGATAAATGCCGCCGGAAAAAAACGCTGTCCCTACCATTAACACCCCATTTCCCTGTGAGCTTGGGCATTTGCTGTGCAGGGCTGAGCAAGATCCCTGAGCTGTTTGTTTGGAGAGGTGATGAGCCCATGAAGAGGCAGCTGGGAGGAAAGCATTGAGGGGAAAAAGGAAAATTTCTCCTTAAAGCCAACTCAGAGTGGAGCTGGAGGACCCCAGTTGCAATTATCATTGCAACTTTAGCGACCGGGACAGGAGGCAGTTACCTTTTCATACTTTTGTGGGGGGCTAGGGAAGGAGGAATTTATTTTTGTTGGCTTATTTTTCTGATCAAGTCGGAGTAGAGGGAATAGGCTTAACAGTTCTGTCGGAATTTATTGGAAATCTGAAGAATTTAATTGTGATGACGCCACCATGTCCTTTTCAATGTTGTTGTGCTGCACTCCTGAGGGCTTCAGCTTGCCAAAATTTCCCGCTCTTTCCCTGTTTCATTGCTCTTTCCCTGCCTCCTTTTCTTTTAAACAACAACTTCATTATTTAGAGGGGACAAAATTCTTTTTTGAGAGGGAGACAGAGCTCTGCCCCCCTGTTATTTCTTCCAGGACAGGCTCCTTACTTGAACCAAAATGATAGTGGCTGGGATGGGTTTTCTTTCCTCTTCCATTTAACAGCCTATCCTTGCACCCTGACCTCCATCAGGCAGCTCTTGGAGTTCCCTGTTTCTTGTCAATAGTTTTGTTTATATTCCCCTTTTTCCCACCCACCAACAGGAGTGTTAAGGAGCACAAGAGCATCAGTTAGTCTTCTAACAAATGAAGTTTTGTCCGAATTAGTTGTTTAGGAGGAAAATCAGAGAAGGGGAATCTACTGGAGCAGGAAGGCCAGCCTGTGCTGTAACCCAGCTGCCCAGGATCTCTCTTTCAAAGGCTTTCTCCCTTCCAAATTCCACGTCACCCTTTAAGGAGCTTCAGTTTTGTTCAAAGCCGTCAGCACGATGCTACAAACCACAAATCAAACCCGGCATCCTTGAACGCTTTCTCCTCTCACACGCTGGACATTGCTGCTGGTGTCAACAGATTTATGCCAAAGCAAAGAGGAGCAGTTCCTGCTCTTCTCTTCAGGGCCTGAAAAAGTTTGACTAATGACTGCAGAGCTGGGGATAAATGCTAGCAACACAAAGTTAGCATCCTACATTTTCTGCTGGGGGAAGTAGTGAAATCTAACTTTTCCACATTTTTTCTGGTGTCAGTGGTGTCTCCTGTTAGACACATATTTGTCAGGTGTGTGTTTTAATTGAGTGAAGGACTTTTGTAATGCTTTGGGATTCCTCAGTAGTGACTGGGCTTGATTTTTAGCTTAGCTTGGTGTCAATATTGCTGTGCGGTCTCTGTTTCAATTATTGCACTTTTTTCCCTCTCATACAGACAATTTTCAAGATCAGATGAAGCGGGAGCTGGCGTACAGAGAAGAAATGGTGCAGCAGCTACAAATCGTAAGTTTACTTTCTCTGATAAAAATGTCTTCAGCTGCTGCTTTGTGTTTTTTAAGCTTACACCTCAAATTTTTCCTTTGTGAGCCATGTTGATGCATCATTACCGAGCTCCTATTGCCTTACATTTAGCAAGAGGTAAACACGCAGTTCTCAGCTGGTTTGGAGCCTAATTACCTGGAGATTTACTTTCATACAGTAACCAGATGTGTCTTCATGTTTCAACTAAACAAAATGTGTCGACTCGACACGGAGAGGTGCTTCTGCAGAGAGGAGGAGTGAATCAGTAAACTTTGAGCAGTTAAACGTTTCTGCCTAGGGAATCTGCTCAATCCCTGCTTCTCACCAGAAAATAAACCTTAGGATGTGTCTTTTTCTCATTTCAGACACTAGAAGAAGTGCTTAACTCAGCAGTAAAGGATCAAGTTGCCAAAACACAGTTCAGTGCAGGCACACGTTACTGTTGGGTCTCTTGCTTGTTATTTTAAAACCAAGAGGGATTTTGCCTGTGTGCTAATGCAGCTCTGGATCATCACATCCAGCTGTGTTGTTTTGAAAAGTTGACGTTATTAATCCTGTGCAAGCAAAGGGGCTGGAGCATGGGAAGCTGTTCCACAGCTTCAAATAAATGAATGCTTAGTGTGGTTTCAAGAGCAGTGCATGGTAAGGCTGTCAGCTAATGCTTGCTGTGCTGATGCTTTCTCTGTGATCAGTCTGACATTGCTCAACGGGGTTTTGTTTTTGGGGCAATCTTGGAAATATCCCCATTTCTCTGAATCAGTCCCGCGCTCCCCCATTGAAATTCTCCTCCTGCTTGTCACAGGGCAGAGAAGGCATTGCCCAGCCTCCTGTCATTTTCTAATTGATGGGTTAGGACATAAAAGTAAATTTGAAGGCCAGGATTGTCAGACTGGTGCTGCGATGTTTAGAGGCATTTAGGACTGGCCTTATTTTTAGAGCTGCCGAGCATCCACGCGCCCCGTTCCTGCTGACTGCAGAGATTTCAATGAGACATGGAGGGTGTTTGAAAGAGGCTGTTTGTGGAGGAAACTCAGGTCCAGAATATCTCTGGGTGTTTTTTGCGGCTGGTCTGCACTCTTTTCCTTTAGTGTGCCCAGTTGTTACTGTGTCCCCCTTTGTGTCCCGATGACAGGCAGGAAGTTTGACTTGAGACGTGAATTTTATTGCCACAGAAAATTCTAATTAGGATGCCATCCTGAAAAGCACTTCCTCTGCTGCTTTGGGCTTGAGGCAGGTGACCAGCTGAATTTCCTGCTGCAAAGAACTTCTGAGCACAAAGCTTGTGGGCCCACCCCAGTCCTTCTCTCTTGTGTCAGCTGAACTTGGAGCTGGCTAGCTCTGCCTCGCAGGGAGAGAATGGATCACCTCTGCCACTCACCTTGTGGCCCTGTGGTGAATTTGTTTGTGGAACTGGATATCCCAGACCCCCAGCAAGCCAGCTGTGGGGGTTTTCCTGATTTTCTTGGTCAGAAACATAAATATGATCAAGTAATTCACACCCTTTTCACTTACTAACTTGTGCTATGGACAGACTAAGAGTCATTTAATCTTTTAACAGAGCTGAATGTACTTACAGAGAATAATTTCAACATTTAATGTGCTGCACCAACAACTCAGGACTTCTTCCCTCACTACAGATGCCTTAATTTAATTATTACTAATGAAAATGTTGTTGAATCGCCAGTAAGTCTTCATGCTTATATTTGTGGGGCAGGTTGTGATCAGTGAGACTGATAAAAAGATGTTTGTATGAAAAACTGAGAGACTCCTGCAAATAATGAGTGTGTTTGCCAAAATGGGTGCAGAAATCTTCAGAGATGTCTTGGCTGATAACTGAAATGGAGTCAGCACTTTTGAGATGATAATCCCAGCAGTGGCTTTAATTCATTCATGGGAATATATCTTGTATGTTTATATCTAGAATTAAGATTAATGAACTGAATGTGGTAATGATAGAACTACTTTGGCCTTCCAGGGTTATTGCATGGATGAATTGGTGCAGAATACACAAAAGCTTTTGATTTTGTGTTTAATTGCTGTTGTTGTTTTGTTTTTAACTGGCACTTTTAGGTGCTTTTTTTTTTTTTTTTTGTACCTGAGATGCTGCACTACTACTTTGACAGGGCTTTAACTTAATTTTCTTGTTAACATAGAAGTACAAAGAGAAAAACAGAAGCGTTTCATACATACTGAAATCATAGTTTTACTTATATCTTCATAGGTGTATGTTTTTGTAGTACTAAGCTCAAAATTTATTGATGTAACTAGCCACAGAATGGGACTTAATCGCTTTAAAAAATTATTTTACAAAAAATACAGATGCCTAAAATCAAGGGGTTTTTTATCTCTTCTCACTGCTGAAGATATTCAACTTAAATTAGTCCTCCTGAATATTCCTGGAAAGGTTTAACAGCAGTGTGGATGTGGCATTTGGGGACATGGATTAGTGTGGACTGGGCAGTGCAAGGGAAATGGTTGGATTTGAATATCTTGGAGAACTTTTCCAACCTAAATGATTCTGTCATCCCCTGATCCCCTGCAACTGTGGGTACCAGAGAGAGGTTTTTCCAGAACGATCATTTCACTCACCCTGAACTGAGCAATCAGACACTAAAATAAATTAACCCAGCGTGTTCGCTGTTTCGGAAATATCCGTAATACAAGCTGAACGCGATCGCGGCAAAAAAAAAAAAAAATCAGCCTATCCTGATTGCATTTGAAAACTTCCCAGCACCAACACCCCCTGCAGATTGCCGTGAAGCTCGTGCCCTGCACTGGCCGTGACGCTTTTTGTCCCGTTATTTTGGGGAGATTCTTCCCCGTTTTGGGAGCGGTCGGTGGCAGCGCGGCCCGCGGGTGCCCTCTGCCGCCCGCCGGCCGCCACTGCAGCGCTAACTCCGCGCCCAAATTGAGCCGGGCTTAAATTAAAGCAGGGCTGGATCAGCGGCCCCCGCTGCTGCTGCTGCTCTGCCCGAGCCAGAATTCAAAAATAACAATATTCCATGGCTTCCTGAAAGCCGGGAGTAAGGCTCAGGTCGCTGAGAAGACGGGGTGGGCCCCATTCTCTTACATCTTCACTGGCGGGATTTGGGTTCTTTGCAGGCAGCCTGGCTCAGCGGGCTGCTGGGGCAGCAGGCTGGTGTGTGGCCATTAGTTTTGATGGGAATCACAGAATGAGTAAGGCTGCGAGTGGCCGCTGGAGGTCCCCGAGTCCAAGCTCCCTGCTGGAGTGGAGGCCCGCAGAGCACATTGCTCAGAACGGATTTCCAGGCTGGTTTTGAGCACCTCCAGTGAGGAAGGCTCCACAGCCTCTCCATGCAGACGGCTCCAGTAAGGAATTTCTTCCTGATGTCCAGGTGGAATTTCCTATGTTTCAGTTTTCAGAGTTTTCAGAGTGTCTGAAGCAGCTACCAAGAAGTTTTGCAACCTGCAAGTGCCAGGATCTTGGCCAAATGCTAGGAAACAACCAATCATCATATTTAACAAGAAAATGGATCTTACACTCCCTGAATGCATTTTTCTCTTCCTCATCTGCCAAAGTGCTGCCTCCCAAATTGGCTGAGTACAGTGTGTGTACAAGGGATCATATATGAAATGTGGATTTTGCATGTGGATCCTGTTGTGCCACGGAAGGTTTAAACTGGGTATTAGGGAAAAATTCTTCACTGTCAAGCACTGGGGTCAGCTGTTCAGGGCAGAGGTGGTGTCCCCATCCCCGGAGGGGCTTAAAGGGTGTGTGGATGTGGCACTTGGGGACATGGCTCAGTGATGAGCTGGGCTTTGGTGGCAAGGTTGGATTCAATTATCTTAGAGATCTTTTTGAACCAAAAAGATTCTGAGATTCGGAGGGTCATCCTGGCTTTTGTTAATGAGTGGTACAGAAAGGGCCAGAGAGGAGGAACTGCTCTGCAGGATGGGGGAAATTCAGACATGACACACATGGTGCACCCTTAGAAGAGCTCACCTGCCTTTAGAGTTTTTAGTTTCTGTCCAGTGAGACCAGAACTCATCTGCTGGGACAGCCCAGCACCATAACCAAGTACCAAGTGACCTCTGCCCGAGACTCTGCATCTGTCTGATATTGTCCTCTGAGCAACTGTGTTAGTGGAACAGATGTTAAAACCGTGAACTTTCTTCCAGCTGCCTGGTGAGAGAAGAAGATCAGAAGCAGCACTGCCAGCATTACGATTTTCATCCTTTAAAGTTTTCATGAACCTCTCTCAAACATGGCCACAGGAAAGTAGAATGCCAAGCAGGAAATTTAAGCCTCCTGCAAATTGAGGAGCTTTTCTTAATTTTGTCTCAGAGGTGCCTTACAAGTAGTTTGTGGGTTCTCAGTGGTGACCTGTCCATCAGGAAAAGCTCAGGTGGTGTTCATCACTCGTGGTGGTTTAGATCATTGAGTGATGATCAATCCCACTGATTTTACATTGGGGTAAAAGGTGACAGATTTTTGGGGTGTGTTAGAAACGTGAAACACTCAGGCAGGCCTTTTTCTTTCCAGATTAAGTGAAAAATGATGGTTTGGTTTTGTTTGGGATATTTTAATTAGGTTATGCTCCCACGAACTGAATTCTTCCTTACCAGCCTCACTTCAGGCTGATAATAATGTTCAGAGCTCAAAACTGGATCCATCTGGAACTGCTCTGTGTTTTATGAATTTCTGCTCTCAGTGCTCCTTTAAATCAACTCTGTTCTTCAGAGTCAGGCAATAAAATAAATCAGGAACTATCTCTCTGCAAAACTGATTTCCATCTCTGCATCATCTTTCAGCCTGATCCTTAGAGATTGACAAGGAATGTTTAAAAGAAGGGAGGAAAAAAAAAAATCCACCATGTGGTTAATGTTGGTAAATCTTCAGAGCCATGAGAGCCTGTCCCTCTGGGTTGCACTGTAATTCAGGAGAGCACCATTCCAATTCCTGGTTTACACTCCTTACAGAAAGCTTTTGTGCAACTCATGTGTTCATCATCCAAACAAGAAGCACCCACATTTCTGCGTGGGGAGATCTGGGTTCTCAAAAGCAGGAAATGGGAAATGGCAGTGCTTCAGTGCCATTTGTGATTTCTGTGCTTGGCCTCAAGTGGTGCAGCTCAGATGATTGACCTTGCAGAGAATGCAAACAGTTGTTCAGCAGAATGGCTCTCGGGTTTCTTGAGTGGCATCTTGTGCTGAAGTGCCTGCTCACAGGCACACAGATAATGACGGGTGAAAGAACGTTTCTGGAACGCTGTGTCCTGTGTCCTCAAAAGGCTCATCCCTGATTGTGTACAGGAAAGTGAGCTCTTTTCACCAGAATTTTATTTCTTGCTATCAGTTTTTTGGTTGGTTTTCTTTTGGTTTTGCTTTTTTTTTTTTTCAAAGACAGGTGAGCAAAACTTGTATCCTGATACCACATGTGGATATGCCTTGGGTGGATAGGATGGAGCTGTGCCTCTTTCTCCAGTAAATTCAAATGTTAAAGAAAAGGATGCCTTGTAGAAATTTAAGCAGAAAGCTTCCTTTCCTTTAGAATCTGCAGAAATTCTCATAAAAAATGGGTGTGGAGGTGCAGGGAGCCACAAGCCAGCCTCAGCTGCTGCATGAGTGCAAAATATTTTTTCTAGGCAACAGAAGGCAGGGTGACGTAAAATCATGTACCTCAGCAGAGATGGGATGCAGAGATGAAGCCTCTGAAAGAGGATGGTGAAATTTCTTTAATATCTGAGTGTGTAAACAGGGATCAGACAGGAACTTGAGAAATTACTCCCCAATCCTACGCACTGCCTATGCCTTGGTTGAGTCGTGGGGCAGGCTCCAGGCTTGCTGAGTGGGCTCCCTCCAGGTGGAATAAATGGAAATGTGCTCCAGGAATGCACAGGGGACTGTGCTCCAGTTCCTAATGGGTACCACAACTAGACTGGAGTCAGCCTGTAGGAAAAAGGAGTCAGTGTCCAGATTGCATTTTTATTCACATCTGCTTTCATTGTGTTTCCCACCAATGTGGACCTGGTAATGAAAACTGGTTTTTTGCTGCTTAAAACCCAACTAACTGCCTTCACTTTTATTATTTCTATACACCTTTTGAAAAGGGCCACCTTTTTGCCAGGAAGAGCCCTAAATCCTCTTCCACCTCAGCATCAGAGTTACTGTATGCTCTGACAACGACAGAAATAGAAGCTGACATTGTAGGTGATTTAACTCATGGAGAAAGCAGTCATTTCCCTGTTGAACACCCACCTCTCCCACTGCCATCAATTGCCAGGAGATCAGGTAAAACAACACGCGTTAGAAAGATGCCAAATATAGCGGAGAAGTGGATTAAGAACAGTTAATTTCTGACAGAATGTACCCCGCTGTATTATCTAGGTCAGTACAGCCTGGGAGATGTCCTACATAATTTGTGGCCATGCAAACCCACGTTGGCCTTCGTGGGTGGGAGAGAGGCAGGAATCAGCTGGCGAGGCACCACAGGTCCCAGCTGGAACGGGCTGATTCTTTCTGTGCACTTTGCTTGTGGCTCCCTTTTGCATCCAAGCCATGGCCAAAGGTGTGATCAGGGAAGCAGCTTCTCTGCACCCCCTCTCTGCTGCAGCTTGGGAAGGAGTTTTGCAGCCTTTGCAAGCTCCCTGTCCTGAAGGCAGCTGTGCATGGGGACATGGAGGAGGGGACAGCTCTGCTTCTTGGGGAGGGATCTGGCCACAGAATTCCTGATTCCTCTTATCTTGTGTCAGGGGAAGGGATTATAAGAGTAGTCAGACAAAACACCTGGAGTCTTGGTGTGTTCTGGTCATCAGTGGTTTGTGCACACACATTTCCCCTTTCCCAGAGCTGTGCAGGGGGGAAGCAGCGTGCCCCTGTGAAAGGTTTCTGCTTTCATTCAGCCACAGACACTGCTGCTTCCTGGTGCTGCTGCTTTCAGCCAGATTGACCTCCTTCCCCAAGACATGAAAGGGTTGTGTCTAAGCTTCAAAAGCCCCTCTCTCTCCTCTCATCCTGACCCTTCCCTCCTCTTTTTCCTGGCTAAGGTAGGCAGGGATGGATAAGTCTCTCTGTCTTTGCAGGCACGATGCTTTACCCCAGCCCAGAGGCACAAAGGCTGGGCAAAATTTGCACAAACATCCTCATAATGGATGGGCATAGTGTATTTAAAATAATTATGGGCATAATGTATTTAAAATCAAAACAGGGGTGTACAGGAACATGTGGGGTCAGTGGATACGGATGTAAATTCACTGTGTGTGGGGCAGGTTGCTTGAACTCTCTGCATTTGCACATCTGTTCCTTCTGCTGCTTGTGCAGGTTAAGGCCTTGATCCTGACTTCAGGTGACAGAATTGACATCTTGCAGTGACATATTTGACATCATTTGTGAGCATATTCTGGAGTGCCTGGCAGCAGAAGCAGGTCAGCTCAGTGTGCAGCAGCACCTAGGAGTGCAGGGACACAGGATTTTTTGATCTCCCAGCCTTAATTCCTCCAGCAGTCCCTCCAAAAGTCATCATCAAAGAATTTGTAGCCAGTTGGATTCCCAGCTATGCGGAAATCTCAGAGCAATTTAGTTTTGTTGCATTCTAAAGGCCCAGCACTGAAGAAGAGCAGCCCTGTAATGTATTCCCTCTGGCCAATGAGCACATCATCCCACTTTGTTTCTAAATATAACAGTGTTCCCTAATATGCCTATGTTCTCTGTTTTTCTTTAATTATTTGTTCCACTTCAGTGGCTTCCCTTCAGATTGGTGCAAGTTGGAGATAACTATTATGAACTTCCTAATTAGGGGGATATAAATACACGAAGTCTCACGCTCCCAACCTGCTGTATTGTGGCTGTGCAGGGATCAGTGTGCATTGCCTGATCTGCCACAGACAGCTGACTTTTTGTGATCCCACAGGTGGCTTTATCCTTTGTCAGCCTCTGATACAAACAAAGCATCAGAATGCATCTTTTACACTGATTTTTAAGGTTCTATCTGTTGTTTTAATTCTGGTCATTTAAAATTTTATTTCTGCTTCAACCTTCCTGAGGTTTCATAAAGAGTTGAACCTTTGTATTTAAGGTGTTGTTTCCTACAATTCCTCCCCATTTTCAGGAAGGAAAACAAAACCTTTCATTTACAGGGATCTCCAGCTTGGGTGTTTCCTTAGCCAAACCTTGGCTTGAGCAGTGTCTCTGTTTCTGTGTCATTCCAGATTCCCTATGCAGCAAGCTTGATCAGGAAAGAAAAGCTCGGTGCACACCTCAGCAAAAGCTAAAGGTGAGCTCGTGAGAAAGAGACTTCATTCCACTTGACCTGGCTGCCTGTGTTCCCCTGCAGCCATTGCAGGAATTAAGAGGATCATTCTGTTGTTTGATGTGCCTGGTTCTGGTCCCAAAGCCCTCTCTGGGCTACAGTCTAAAGCTGATAAATCACATGTGGCACAAATTACAAGGCTTCTCTGGAGTGGGATGCAGTGCTGGGAGCTGACCCATGGGTCCTGCAGTGACAGGGCAAGGGCTTCAAATTGGGAGTTGCTTTAAATTAAATCTTAAAGAAGCTTTAAATTAAATATTAGGAAGGAATCCTTCCCTGGAAGGATGGGCAGGCCCTGGCCCAGGGTGCCCAGAGCAGCTGTGGCTGCCCCTGGATCCCTGGCAGTGTCCAGGGCCAGGCTGGATGGGGCTTGAGCACCCAGAGATGGTGGAAGGTGTTCCTGCCTATGGCAGGGGCAGGATGAGGGGATGTTTAAGGTTCTTTTCAACCCAAACCATTCCATGCCTCTAACTGCCTGAGCTTGTGCTTCTCCTGACACTGAAAAGTGTCATCAAGGTCAATGTACCTTCAGTGGAAGGAGGGAAATACCTTGGCATTCAGAGTGCAAAAAGAAATGTTCACACTCCATGTAGGGAGGAGTTTTTCTGCCCTTAATGGAACTCCTTTAGCTCCAGGAAAAAGCAGTGCATCAGCATATTTTGGGAGTCTCACAGAACCCCCTGGCTGTGGTTCTGAAGCTCAGTGTCCTACAGAAGGTAATTATTCCAAGGTGCAGGGCCTTCCCAAACCAAACACTACATTTTTCAGGACTGTCTATTAGAAGGGTTCATTTAGTAGAAACACCTTCACCATCAGAGACTTGAGAGATTCCAGTTTTGGATGCTGAAGTTTTAACATTTAAATGACATTCTCTTGGTGTTTTCCCTGGGAAAACAAGAAGATTAGGGATTGGAGACAGATGCCAAAAGCTGGTAGCCCTGCTGCTGGGTTACGCCACAAAATCTGGCTTGTGGATTCACTAAAAAAAAAAAATCCCCAAGGAGAAGTAAGGGGATTAGAAAAAGAAGAGCTGCTCATACACAGAGATCTCAGAAATTCACAAAATAGAGGTGTTCAAGAGGGTGTCTAAGAAGGGCTTGATAGGAGAGATGATGGAGGTTTGCCTGGGATGTAGAAGAAGCAGATTCCTAAAAACAAAAGCAGTAGGAGTAAGCACAGAGTAACCAGAGAGCCACGATCTGTGGCCCGGAGCTCTGCCCCTGAGATAAGGAGATTATTCTGAGCCCCGAGCTGGCCTCTTCTGGCTTTGTGCACACATCCCTACTGACTGCCAGCGTTTTCCAATCGAGCCCACAGCAATCTGAGCGCTGATTTAAGACAAACTCAGCGTCATTTACACCCCAAATAAAACAAGCAGGTCAGGAGCAGCAGGTCCTGCCCCAGTGCCGCATCTGCAGCGCTGGATGCCCAATAAAAACCTGCCTGAGGATGGCAGCATCGGAGGAGAGGAGCAGCTTGCTCCCATCACCGGGCTTCCAGCAGCTCCCAGCCCCTGCAGGGGCAGTGCTGGCATCCCGGCAGCGAGCATCCATTCCCTTTGGCAAGGGTGGCAAGGAGGGATGCGCTCCTCACGCTGCTTCTGCCCGCAGCCCCGCGGACATCGGGGATGTCTCCACGCAGCCCCGGTGCTTTTGGAAGATTTGCTGTTGCTTACGTGCTAAGCTGAGCCAGCCAGGCAGAGAACCACGGCTCTGCTCTTCAGAAGCAGTTTTGTGTCCTTGATGTGCCAAGAAGGAGAAGTCACCTCAGGAGGAAACGTGTTTGCACATCCCTGCCCTCGTGTTTGCACATCCCTGCCCTCGCAGCGCTCCCAGGGGTTTCCAACTCTCTGTTTGGCAGAGCAACCCCTCAGTTCCTGCCCTGAGCCCCTCTGCTCCTCCCCACAGCTGCGTTTAATCGCACTGCAGTCAGTTTAAGTTTGCACTGCGTCTTTATTGACAATATTTCCACGTGGACCCACAGGTACTCGCTGGGTTATGCCACAAAGTCTGGCTTGTGGATTCACTAAAAAAATCCCCGAGGGGAAGTAGGGTGAATTAGAAAAAGAATAGCTGCTCATACACAGAGATCTCAGAAATGCACAAAATAGAGGTATTCGAGAGAGTATCTAAGAAGGGCTTGATAGGAAAGATGATGGAGGTTTGCCTGGGCTGTAGAAGAAGCAGATTCTTAAAAATAAAGTTAGTAGGAGTAAGTACAGAGTAACCCGATAACCATGATCAAAGTGTCAAAGTCTCAGGGGATGCTGCTAGAGCAGGTGACCTATGTGTGTGTCCCTTTCCCAAGGGTTGTAAATAAATGTCATAATTCTGTCACTGTCTCAAACTTTGGCTTAATGTTGACAATACTTTCTCTCTCTCTCTTTTTCTCCCTCTCTTTTTTTTTTTTTTCTACTCCCAGAAGCACAGGAGCTTTTGCAGCTGTTACCTTATAAGTTATAACCCAGTCAGAAACCTGACTTGTATATAGACTGTGAAATGGAAGTGTTTGGGGATCTAAATAAAAAAAAATCAGGTTCCTCTGAACCTAAGGACAAGTGACCTCATAGTATCATGGACAACCATGTCAAATAGAATGTAGCAGCCATTTATTAGTAAACACAAAACAACAAAAAAAAAATGCCTGTCCTTGATATTTTTCTTTTTTTTTTTTTTTTTGGTGGTACCAAAGTTTAAGTCTTTGTGTTTTTAGAAGGACTGTTGAGCTTGATAGAGAAAAAAAAAAAATGCTTTTGAATCGTGCAGATAAGCTGTGAAAGGAACTGCTGGTCCTTTCAAGGCCACAGGCACTGACAACACCTGCCAGCTCACCTTTTGCTTTGGAATAGTGATTGTTTTATGGAAGGGAATGAACGTCTCACCAGATGGGCCAGAACCACGTTTGGATGGACGGGTGGGCAGACGGGCGGACGGATGGAGCAGCGTTAGCCATACACAGTGCTTTTTAAAAGCAGTCTGGAGATTCTCACACCCCTCTCCCTCGTCCCTTCCCCCCCCTCTGGTATTTTGCCTGCTGTATGAATTACGATTGTACTCCTCTGGAAATATTTTACAATTTAATATTGAGTGTAATTAAGAATATAATCACTGTTATCAAAAAAGGTATTTAACTCTGTTGTAGTTTCTTTATCATTCATGTGGATAAAAAGTCTATAATAAAAAAAAAAAAAAAAGAAAAGTATGAGATAATAGTTGAGCTTCCCTGTAATTTAATGCCATGCTTAGTCCACTGAAGAAAACAACTGGGAAATCTATCCCCTTTTTAGAAGTATTTTAATTCACAAAAAATATGCTGAAGAGTTTCATGGTGGAAATTTCTGCCTCCGGTTATTTTGAAAACGCTCAGAAGAAGCAGATTTAGTACAATTTCAGGATGTGCCTCGTGGATCCACAGAAATAAAGGCAGTCAGTTGATTTTGAAGACTGCACCCGTATTCCTCCAGGTCTTTCCTTGGTGACCTGCACCACCCTGGTTGTCAGGGCTTTCCTGAGCGAATCCACCTCCCTGCTGAAAGGATTGGCCCCAAACACAAAGCATCTCCCACGCCAGGACAGCACCACCAGCACCCAAAAGTGTTTTCAGCCATGCCCAGCAGAGCTGCTCCCTCAGTATTCCCAGCAAATTCCTGTGAGATTAAATCTCTCTCAATATTCCCAGCAAATTCCTGTGAGATTAATTCTCAATATTCCCAGCAAATTCCTGTGAGATTAGCTCACCTGGCTTCGCAGTTCCTTGGTGCAGCTGGCAGGGCTGGCAGGCAGGGCAGGAAGGGCACAGCCTGCTTTCCTGCCCTGCCCTGCACAGTTTGCTCTGGAGTTAGGTGAGCTGACAGGACGCACGGAACCAACGGAATTATGGCTTTTGTGGCGTGGGGAAAAAAAAAAAGCCAAAACAAACAAAAACAGCAAAACCACCAGAAAAGCTGGGCCAGGGCAGCTCAAATTTTCACCTGTCTCAGTAGCCTGTTCCCAGGAACGGAGGAAATCAGATACTTTGTGAAAGCACACCAGCAATTAGAGATATGTTCCCAGAATATTGTTTTAGCTACTAATGATTTACTGCATATGGGTTTTCTGACCTAGACATGATGTCTTGCTTTTAGTAACCCTCAATGGATTTTTTTTTTTCTTCCATGAACACAACCAGTGATTTTTTAAGACCCAGGCACACTTTTAGCAGATTACAGCATCCTGTGGCAGTAAATTCCACTGCTTAAATACAGCTTGTGGGGGAAAAAGAGAAAACCAGCTTCTGATCATTGGAGCTGCCAAATTTAGCCTCATTTTATGCCCTGGGCTTCTTGTACTGGATGAGACAAATTGTTGACTACAGGCCACCCCTATCCACTTTCCCCATGTCTGACATGATTTCATAGGCATCTATCAAGCCTTTTTGCCTGTCTTTTTTCCAGATTAAGTTGTAGTCATCTCTCCAACATGAGCAGCCCCATAGCTCTGTAGTCCTCATGTTTCTTTTCCCAATCAGGTCCTGCATCCTGCATCCTTTATGAGATGCAGAACTAGCTGCACTTGGGAATACTCAGGGTACAGGATGCTCTACAGATTATTGCACAGAGTGACACTGTGCTGCTTTCTGTGATGAATGAACCCAGCTGCAGGGTGGTGGTAAAATCTCTCACCACTATAGATCAAAAGTTTTGCCCAGACATAAAGCAACCCCGCTGCTCAATAAGAGATTGCCTCCCTAATGGCTTCTGAGTGCCAGAGCTCCTGGATGTGGTCAGGCGTGCAGAGCGGCCCTGGCTGTCCCTCACCATTTGAGAACCAGGCCCTGGAGCAGACACAAAGCACCCAAAGCAGATTTATTTGCTTTCTGCTCCCAGCTCAGGCTGTCGTGTTCCCCAGGGCCTTTCCAGAGCCCAGCTGTGTGTGCTGGTGCAGTTGTGCAGCTGTGCATTAAATGCACGGCTCACACGAATTA